TTGGTTACAGTGAAAGTGGTTCGGTGGAAGGAGCCATGTTTGACAGGTTCGCTCACACAGACTCGGTCAGAAAGGGATCTGCGTTACAGTCAAAAGGGTTTGTTCAGGCCCACAAGACATCCGTTAAAATTGGAATGATACATAGAAGATTAGCATGGGTCCCGTGCAAGAACGACGCACATAAATCGAGAAATCTGAAATACTCCAAATTTTCGGGGGGGGGGAGGGGGAGGAAAGGGTCTGTTTGGCTGTGAAGGAGCCCTGATTGACAGGTTCATTCACAGAGACTGAAACCCAAATGGCTTATGGATTATAGTCAAAGTCAAAGGGGTTTGCGCGTGAAGGATCCCTATCACAGGTTCATTTACGGAGGTTCAGTCCAATGGCCTTGTGAATTACAGTTACAGTCAAAGGGTTTTGTGACGGAGCCGTGTCCGACACGTTCACTCACAGTGATGCAGTAGAGGCGGCCTCCATATTGCCGTTGGAACAGATCCCTCATTACAGTCAAGAGTGGCTTGATCGCAGGGTCATGTTTTAAAGTCAAGTGTTTCAGCATACCAGTCAAAAGGCTCACATCACAATCAAAGGGATTCAAACGAAGCGCTTTTACTGCTGCTACTGGAAGAACACTTGCACGGTGGGCTGCACGATCTGCTGTGCAACAGTGCACCGCACCACCAGAAGCTGGTGCACCACACCAAAATTTGGAAATATTGAAAAAAGGTTAAAGAGTTCAAAACTGAATTGCAATCATCCTTTACTTTTCTAAATTGATAGAACAAGGCAAGATTTTGGGGTTTCATTGGCAGCCAAAAGTTGCTAAAAAAGCAACATTTCAATTTAAGTATTTTACATTTTCTCCCCAGAATTGCTATTCTTTTGGTCAGCTTTTGGTGCCTTGCATCAGTGCGGTGTGTGTGGCACCCCGCACATGCGAGCGGTGTATGCACTTCCTGCAAGATAAGTTCCCTACTACTGCAACCATAGGGGTACTTCAGCCCTAGGGGTTATCAGTTGCATACGACTCTGGATTGCCTTCAGGCCTAGCCTTGTGCATTGCACCTTGCGACACAAGAAAGGAGCAAGAAATGAAAAAAACGATTACCGGATGCTTACATTCGTAACGTCCATTTCAAATGTCAAGAATGAGTACCTGACAAACACAATTCCCTTTTCCCCGAACCAGCTAGGAAACTTGAAAGCCATTTGCAGCGGGCGGTGAAGCAGCAGACTGCATCCCAACGTCCACAACATGGCGGTTGGCACCATCACCTTCATGTGGTCTGCCCTCACCAGCAAGGGGGGTGATGCCCATGGTCATCATCATTGATGCTGTCTCCAGTAAGCTTCCTGCCCGGATATCATCGGCCATTTGACCGACAGCAGCATTGGCAACATCGGCATAATTTCGATCAGCAGCAGTCTGCCAATCAGAGGGGAAAACATCCTGCAGAGCATTGAGAAAACCTCCTGCAAATGGCAATGCAAGCTTTCGGAGTTGCATGTCCCAAAAGGAGGCGGTCCGGGCATCCACAACGATTCCGGCATCCTTCATGTCGTCGCAGACGCTAAGGATCTCCTTTTCGGACACACCATCTGGCAGAGGAGCTTTTGTTATCAGGCACGACAGCAGAGCATGAAAAACGGGAAGGTCTGCCTTTAGTCCCTGGCTTTTGAGTTTCCTGTACACCGACACGGCTGCAGCTGGATTGCCCACACGAGCCCAGCCTGTGATGAGTGCTGTGAACACACGCAGACTGGGCTTAATTCCCACACGCTCCATCTCTGCGACAGTCTCCATCGCCCTTGGCATGTCTCCTGCTCGACCGCAAGCACCTATAAGTGCGCAGTAGTGCGGCGCATCCACAGGGAGCCCCTCATTTCTCATCTGAAGCATTAGGTCTGCCACCTCCCACACGTCCCCACGCTGAGCCCAGCCATCCATCAGAGTGACGTACAGTATGTTGTTCATACGGAGTCCCATTTCCTGCCGCATTTCATTGGCTAGCGCAAGCGCCGTCTGCATACGGCCTACTTTGCAACAGGCATTCACCAAAACTCCATATGTTACCTCGTCTACCTTTATCCCATCCGCCTTTACCTTGCGGAAGAACTCAAATGCCTTTTCAATCTGACCGTTCCTTGCCAAGCCGTCCATCATTACTGTATACGTGTGCAGGTCCGGCTTGACACCTGCTGCAGTCATTTCTCGCAGGATTTCCTCTGCCTTTTCCACATTCTTTGCGTGAAGCAGACCCTTGATAATGCAGTTGTACGCCACCGTATTTGGCCGATACCCTGCCTTGCGCATTGCTTTCACTGTTTCTAATGCTCCGTTTGCATCTCCAAGACGCGCATACCCATCAATGATTGAAGTGTACGTCATGTGATTTGGATATGTTCCCTCCTCTTTCATTTTGCAAACCAGTTCCTGAGCCTTTGCCATGTCCCCAGCCTTACAGAAGCCATTGATGATGATAGAGTACACAACCTGGAAATGGAGGTAGACAGCAAAGAGCACTCCCAATCAGTCTGCCTCAACGCAACAAACATCATACTATTTAGACATACAAAAGCAATGTACCTTGGGCACCAATTCTCAAGCACTCCCCTCGGTAAGAGGGGGGCTGACTCTTATGCTGCGGCAACAAGCACATCCTGCCCACCACCTCCTCAAAATTTGGGCCAACCCCTACAGACAGGGATCGATAAGAAAGGCCGTCAGATTGTCAATCCAACAGTCTGTCTGAAAAAGGGCAAACGAACGCTCCCCGGTCACCAGGGCGCCATAAAAGAAAAAAAAAAGTGCCGCTCTCGAAGTCTAACCTTCCACTGTAGCAGGTGAGCACAGTAAAACCATGCCTTGCATAACACGAACGCCAAGACTGTGACAAGCAGAGCCAATAAAAATTACCCGAGTGCAGCTGTTTTCACAATGAAGCGGAGGATGAGAATCTATGCGTAGGCTGTAGCATACATTTTCAGACTAAACAGGGCACACAGGCGGACAACTGACTTTCCGAGCAAATAACAGCAGCATCTGTGTTTGCTAACTTTGCATGCACAAACGGAAACATGATATTCGCAAAGGAGAAAGGAGGGAAGAGTTTCTACCCCGGCGAACGAGCACTGACTTTCTCCTCAAATGATGGCAGTTGTGTTTGAGTGTAAATGACCGAGGAAAAGTGCATTGCACTCGTCAATCGGAAAGAAGCCCCTGGGTAACAAAACCGTCTTGCTTTTCCCTCACAGTGCCCTCTTCTCAAATTAGTCCCCGTCTGAACTTACTAGTTTGTGTGATGTTAGGGCTATCCACGTTGGATCGGATCACTCACAGAGGCATGCGTATGCATTCTGGGCTATACAATAGTATAGAGTTTGATGGATCTGTTTTTTGTTTTTTTTCAAACACAACACACTTGCCCCTTCTGTTCTGGGGGGCACCAGTGTGGTTGCTTTCCCCCGGCAAGCACAAAGCTTACATGGTGTACATGATATACTGAGAAGGCAAAAAACAGGATGGGTGGTCACCAGCGACCGGGAGACTCCCTTCGGTACCCAGTCATCGCAAGCTATCACCCACCTATCTCCCTCCCTTCTCCCTTCCCCCCCCCCTCTCCAAATCATGACAACGATGAAAGGAAAGAATCATTGTTTAAGACAGTAGGACTCGATCCCTGCACCTAACCCGTGACCCTGTACATTGACCATATGACCCTATGTGAGATTTGAACCAGCAACCTGTTCTTATATCCCGTAGGCTAGTTAATCTGTGTGGTTAGTCAGTCGTAGGCCTTGATCCGTAGATCTTCGTATTAGGAGGTTAGCACATACTACATTACCATTAGTCTTAGTTAGGGTCCTTCTGGAAGTCTCTACCTGGCTCTTCGTTAGTCTAAGGGTCAGTCCGTAGTAGTTAGTCAGTAGGGTCTAGAAGATCGTAGGTCTGTCTACCGCATCCAGTCAGCAGGTAGCACAGTCCACTCTGTCCAGTCAGCAAGTACCAGGCGGGTTCCATGCAGTTTGGGGCCTACAGTCCCACACGTTTGGCCCAGGAGGGCCACGCGGTTTGGGACATCCCCAGGTCCATGCGGTTTGGGCCTCCCAGGCCCATGCGGTTTGGCCCAGGGTTGAGGCAGTCCAGGACACCTGCGCCAGAGTATAAATAAAGAGGCAGCGTCCATCCATTGATTCATTTGCCCGTGAGCCTCACGGAAGTGCTGCTGGAGCGACTTGCGCTGGGAAGACTGCAGGTGCCCGTAGTCGAAGTGGGCTGAGGGTGACGACGGCGGCCATAGCTAGGAGGAGGAAGACGACGGCGGCCGTAGCCGCCCAGCTGCTGACGTTGACAGAGTGTACAGTGTTTGTGTGCGGGTAGTGTGGACATTCAGGGTGATCCTCGTGCATGTGTGTGTGAGTGGAGTGGAGGCTGATGGTGTAGACAGTGTTCGGCGGCCATAGCCGCAAATTGTACAGTTGACTTAAGCTGAGTTCCGGTCGGAGGCCATATCTCTGAGTTTTCTGTGTGGCCGCATGTCGCCAGTGCAAGTTCATTGTTGGATCTGGGTTCATGAAGTTGGTTGGCCATCAGCACGTTCATGTATGCATGTTGTAAACGAGTTTGGAGTCAAGTCTGATTTCACTGGTATCGGAGCTGGTACCCGTTGTCCACATGAGCAGGGAAGAGGAAGAAGGCCACCATGGCTGGTGAGCGGCAGAGAGAGAGAGAGAAGGAGACTTGCAAAGAAGAAAGGACAGTCCACCATAGCGGACGGCGGCCATAGTCGCCGAGCTCGGAGGAAGAAGAAGATCGACAGCTGGACAAAGGAGAAGAAGACGAGGGAGAGAAAGAGGGAGGTGATGAAGGTGAGAGAAGTCGGCCATAGCCGAACTTGAGGTGAAGGAGAGAGGAGCTACCATAGCCAAGGTTGACCAGAGCAGGGAGGCATTGACCAAGTTGACCGGTGTTGACCGGCGTTGAGCAAGTATTGACCAGTGTTGACCAAGAGTTGACTGCCGTTGACCAGGGGTTGACTGGTGAAGTTCGACCCAGCGTTGATCAGCATTGAGCAAGCTGGAGTGCAGAGCAAAGAGCGGTATACTCTCTTCAAGCCCTGGCCCTATCCCCATACCCGTTGGATGTGCACTCACCTTCGTACTTGCTGACGTGTCAGTCTGTCATCTCTTTCTGCATCGAGTCACTTCTGTCCAGGTTGATAGGACTCCGTGTATGTGGTCGTAAGGCTGAGGTGGCCAAACCTGCACGGGACTTAGTAGGGCTAAGGCTACGTCTGACGACTGACGACCTGGGGACAAGACCCCCAAGGACTGGTACAGACCGGCAGGCTGCTCAGTGTGGCGTGGTAGGCCCGAACTCTGCGACGTTAAAGAATTCCTGAGGAATTATGGGGGATCTCCTTAAATGCCTCCTGATCAGCAAGTGAGTCCTGTAGTGACAACCTAGAGTAGTCGAGGCTGGAGAAAGAGTAGTTGACAGAGTACGAATCTGAAGCAAAAGCCAGGAGGGTTTCAGTGACAGTGGTGGCTAAAGCTTCCGTCGGCTGTGGAAAGTTTCGGTGACAGTGGTTGCGTAAGCATCTGTCGGATGTGGTAACCTGGCTAAGCTGAAGAGAGGTCTCTGTAGTCCTTTAGAGAGTCATTGGGTAGGCCTACGTGTTGAGTGGAATTGTCAGTAATTGTGCTCTGTCGACATGGTGACCACCCTGGCAGGAACGAGCACTACCCCCTACAGTAGAGAACAAGAAGAAAAGGCCGCCACTATCTTACGTAAGAAGAAGGAGAGGATGGAGAAGAGATAATTGATTAAACAAGCAAAGAAGTTAGCTTTGCTGGAGGCGGCGGCCAAGGAGAAACAGATGGAGGAGGAATTGGAAAAGAGGAAGAAGGAACATGAGGAAAAGTGGAAGAAGGAACATGAGGAAAAGTGGAAGAAGGAACATGAGGAAAAGTGGACGAAGGAACATGAGGAGAAGTTGGTCGCAGTTGAGGCTGAGGACGAGGAAGAAGAGGAAGAGGTGGACGCCGAAGAAGAAGAGGCCTTGTTGAGGAGAATGGGAGAGGCCAGTACCAGTGCTCACCCATCTGAAGAAGTAGAGAAGGTAGTGAGAGAATGGGTGGCGACGTTGTCACTGGTGGAAGACAAAGAAGCAGAATGGATAGTACCCCATGAGGAGAGGGAACCAGTGAGTAGAGAGTTGGAACAGGAGAGGGACCCCTTGCGGCGACAGGCAAGAGAGCAAGAAAAGCAGTTGGATTGGAAATTGCGCCTAGTTCAAGAGAGGAGAAGGCGTTTGGAGGCAGCGGAGAGGATCAAGGGTGAGTTGAAGCAGCAAAGACTCAAATGGGGAAGGTCGGGGAAGAGACTGAAGTAGGTAAGAAAATTGACCCAGAGCTTAAATTCCCTACTGACCGCCTAGAGAGAACAATTAAGACGCCTTCACGGCCACGATATTGCATTAGAGTTGGTACGGACTGGGATCAAAGACGTTGCGCACGATATGATGATCCAGTTATTTGAGGAGATCCATCGATCGGTAGGCAAGACGGGAAGGCTTTGTATGGGCGCCATAGAGGGTGCAAAGTTAGCGGCTTCCAAGGAAGAGGAGCCCATACCACGCCGCAAACATGTTAAAGTCTGATTCCCCGAGCCCTTTAGTGGGAAGAAGGGCGAAGCCTTTGATAACTGGGAAGCTAACGTTAAGTCGTACTTGCATCTGCAAGACATCCCACAGGAGGACCATGTCCTCATAGCTTTCCAGGCACCGAGAGAGGAAGCGACCATCTTTGCTAGGTCGCTTGCACACGCTGCTCGTTGTGAGAACGATATGGTCGCATACGCCTCCATCACTCACCTGAGTGACTTCCTCGCCTTTTTTAGGGAAAGATTTGTAGACGTCACTAGAGGGATTAAGGCGTCAGGCAAACTGTAGATGATCCATACGCGCCAATAGAGGAGTGTCCATGCGCTCAAGTCCGCCATGGATGAGCTCATTGTTGTGCCCGACCACGGAGTGACTGATGCACAACTTGTCCAATGTTTCTACCGCGCTTTGCTCGAGCATATGCAAGGACACTTTTTTACCAAGAATCAGCAGCCAGACATCACCTATGATGTTCGCGGTAGGGAGGCTGTTGCATTCGCCGCCCAAGCTTCCCCAGTTACCACTTTCTCGCACAAAGACCTTACAAAGGGTAAAAAGTGGAAGGGCCACACCATCTTCGAGCAGGTTAAGGCTAAAAGCAGTTTGATACTCATGATGGAGGAAGGTGGTGTTGAAGAGGTTCCCTTTTCTGACATCAAATGGGGACTTGAGGAGAAAGATAGTGGAGCAGGACAGGGGAGTACCTACACTGCTGTCGTGGCCAGAGGGAGGCTGCAAGGTGGAGGAAGGGCCCCCGACCGAAATGGTCGGGCCCCAGGTGGCCGAGGACAGGGCGGCTAGGGGTTGGTGGCAATAGGGACCGCCAAGC